ATGCAGCCCAGGATCCGGTTGGCCTCCACCTCTGTTTCTGCAGGCCATGCCTGCACAGAGCTGATCTGGAGATTAAATGCACACTCAGACCTGGTGTGTGCCAAAAGAATGATTTCACTGTGTGCTCTTTCCAGAACTGATCCGGTTCCTTTCGGAGAAGGAGACATCGGGAGCATGTGCCTTCATCTCTCCATGAAGCCAGGGGAATACTCCTACTTCAGCCCCCAAACGCTGTCCATGTGGGCCGGCCCAGAGCACTGGCGTTTCAAACCTCGACACAAATGTACGTACTTAGCGACGGCGGTTCATCCGCCATGGACACAGCTACTGCCAGGCCCTGCTGCCCTTTGGAGAGGGGTGGCATCCGAGTTGTAAAGAAGGGGACAAGCCTGTGCGGCTCTTTTCCAGCCAGCTGGGAAGCGGTACTGAGGTCAGGCACCAGGGAGGCTCTCCATCACATGCAGATCTTTTGGTGTCTAACGTATCCTCTGTTGGTTGAGTTTGTCAGCGATGCCCAAGGTTGAGGGGGTGTCTCCTCAGCCCCAGGAGACACGAGCACTAATACAGCTCCTGCTGCCGTTTCCCACTGCCGTGGTTTGACCGAGCACCACACAGCCGCTCACTCCCTCCCTCCCTCCTTCCCCGGTGGGATGGGAGAGAGAAGCAGAGGAAAAAGAGCACTTGTGGGTTAAGAACAGTTTAATAATTGAAAGTAAATAGAATAATGGTACTAATAATACTACGTAGTGAAAATACTACTCCTACTAATAATAATGATAATAATATGTAATTTAAAAAACAGGGAAGGAAAACAAAATGATACAGCCACTCACCACTGCCTGACCGGCGCTCAGCCCGTCCCCGAGCAGTGATTCCCCTCCTGCCCAGCTCCCGTAGCCTACATGCCCAGCGTGACATTTGATGGCCTGAAACGTCCCTGTGGTCAGTTTGGGTCAGCTCTCCGGGCTGTGTCCCCTCCAGCCTCTTGCAGGGAGGAAGTTAGGAACGCAGGCGCGGTATTAGAAGCCGCAGGAGTCCTGGGCTGGATGTGAACATTCCTTAGCAACAACTGAAAACATGAGCGTTACCAGTATTCTTCTCAGCCCAAATCCAAAACACCGGCGCCTCCTGCTAGCTCCTGTGAGGAAAATGAACCATACCCCAGCCTTCTGCAGAAAAACTCTAAATTAAATCACACCTTTTGCTTCTATTTAAAGATTCTGATCCCTTTAAAACACGAAGCTGGGAACAACACCTCTTGCTTCCCCGTAACAAAAGGAAAAGTCCGTGTAGGTGACCTGCCTGGGTGGAGCAGATGCTCGGTAGGAGCAAGCCCCTCCTTCCTCTCTCATGAAGCACCGATGGTTTCCTTCCTTTCCGCAGTTGAGGCTGGCTCCGAAAAAGAGCGCAAGAAAAGGAGGACGAAGAAAACATTTGAAATAAACTTCGATGAAGACATTGACTTTAAGTCATATTTCTGTAAGTCCAAGGTACGTGCTGAGCTTCTGCCTCTTTCTGCTCTCCTGGTGTGTCTTGGGGCTGCCATCTGCAAGTGGCTCACCTCATCCTCTGAAATCGGCTCTGTAAACCCAACATCGTGTCACTTGGTTCAGGGTTTTTGTCTCCAGCTCAAGCAGAGAGTTTTCCCAGCCGTGGGGTGGGGAGTCAGGCTGGATTCTCCCTGGCTTACACCCTCTCAGGCAGAGATGCTGCGTGTCGAGGGTGATGCGCGGGAGCCCCCGCGTGCCCCGACTGGACCAAGAGCTCCTCTTGTGCATTCATCTCCCGAGGAGTGGCTAGCTCATGGGTAACGGTATTTATTCCCTTCCCCAGGTGTCTGTAACTCTAGCCAAATCCATTCTGGAGACCCACAATGTGAAGAGCGTAACGCTTCCCACAGACTTCAACTACGAACCTAAAAACATCGTCCAGCTGTTCCTCAAACCAGCTGTTAAGGTAAGAGTCTTCTCTAAGAGCCCGTTGGCAACGATTCCGTGCACGAAACCACTCTTCACCAAATGCCTGATGCGCTTCGGGATGCTCCTCCAGGCTGGAGAGGGGCCAGCATGTCATAGAATGAATCACGGAATGGTTTGGGGTGGGAGGGACCTTAAAGACCACCCAGTCCCACCCCCTGCCATGGGCAGGGACACCTTCCACTAGACCAGGTTGCTCCAAGCCTCATCCAGCCTGGCCTTGGACACTCCCAGGGATGGGGCATCCACAGCTTCTCTGGGCAATGTCCCGCTGAGCTCAGCCGTTGTGCTTGACAAGGGGCTTGCGAAGGGGGCTGGTGTGCGAGGGGGAGGCAGAGCTGGCAGGCTGGGAAACGGGAGATGCTGAAGGAACAGGGCACAGGCATTGCTTGGGGAAGTATTTAAGAGGTTTTTTCCCTCTCCTGACCAGCTCTGCAGGATGTTTGAGCCAGACAACTTGTTGGATCATGAAGATAAGATCGGCGAGTACGATTACAACAACCCCAACGACACCTCCAATTTCTGCCCCGCGTTGCAGGTAACTGGAAGAGGAAGATTCCTTTCTGTTGCCTGTAATATGTGATGGGAATGATTTAGGAAGAATCTGTGTCCAGAATGAATTACTCATGAAAAATAATTGAAGCCGCAGGTGATGCGGAAGCTGCAGGAGTCTGCGCACACCCCTGTCCCCTCACTCCAACGCCATCCACTCTGCCTTTGGTGTTTGCCAGGCAGTTTGCTGCAGACACTTCACTCCAGCCTTTTCCACACACCCTAAAGCAGGAGTAAATGCCATTGCTCGTCTCTGCAGGGTGAGGTTTGCTCCCAGCTGTTTCACGCTCCCGTTGGAGCAGATTTCAAAGCATCAGTGTTGTGCCAGGCCAGTGCTGCCTCCCGAGTGCGTTTGTGACCGGTCTCAGCTGATGCCACGCTGGCAGGAGAGCCCTCGTCTCTTATCTTTCCGGGTAGAAGAGCCTCTGGATACTCTGCACCCTGGATCTCCCTTGGGTTTAGCCTTAGTGCTGTGGGGAGAGGCCGAGCGTGTTCCCTGGGGAAGGTGGGCAGGCACTGCCGCCCTCCTGAGAGGCGGGTGCTCTCGTTACCTGGGTGCAGGACACCTCTGGCTCCTCAGAGATGTCTGCGGGTGGCCTCAGTGCCCTATCTTCTCTTGATCAGGCTGCAGAGAGCGATGACGATAACGACCCCGTTCGGTTCATGGGCCAGATGGGGGAGTTCAACCTCACCGCCCACCCCGAGGGTCACGACGCTGAGGCCAGCGTGATCATGGGCAACGTCGATACCACGGCGTACGGAGAGCTGAACCTCATCGCCGAGCCCCAGAAGGTAAGCGCTTGCCTTGTCGCCGAGCTGGGAACACTCGGGAGCAAAGCCTCTCAACGCCTCGGCGGGGTTCAGGTCCTCAGGCAGCAGCTTCCCTGGTCCAGCATCTCCTGGGTTTGCTACCGGACACTTTATTCCCAGGTGAACCCGTGTGTAAGAGGAGGGAATTTAAAGGCGAAGGTGTAGGAGTAAGACTGTTCCCCGTCGCTCCCAGGGAGCACCGTGGCTTGATCGTTCCTGCGGTCCTGCTGCGGTTGCTCTCGGCTGAGCATGGCCGCCTTTCCCTCAGGTCAACAAGATAGCAATTCAGTACGCCAAGACAGCCAAGAAAATGGACATGAAGAGGTTGAAGGAAAACATGTGGAACCTCTTGACCAACGGGCAGAAGAAGAGAAAAGTGGCAGAGGTGAGCGCAGGGCAGCCCGGTACCTCAGCAGGCCCGAGGAGAAGAGAATGCCCTGCAGTAACTGTGCGTAACGCCCGCAGAGGGACTCTTGGGCTGGTTTCGCAGCGACCCCTCTCGCTCCCCTGGGAGGGTTGGTCGGGACGGGCCGAGTGTAACGCGCAGTGGGTTTTCCCTGAGCGCGAGGGCTGTCTCACCTCTGCCTTTTTGCTAAATAGATTGAAGATGCACAGGGAGAGGACACGTCAGCGGTAGCAGGGGAGAAGGTCTTCAGCAGCATCACGAAGGAACTGCATCACAGGTAGAGGCCCTAAAAAAGGTTGGGCTGAAGATGGGGGGTGACTTTAGCTGAGCTTGGGCAAACGCTGGCCCCCCTGTGTCTATCACACCCTGTGAGCTCAGCCCTGAGGGGGAAAAACTCTTCTCCTGCTCTCTGGGTTGCATTCAGCTTGGAAAATCCTTTGCCAGCGGGAGGGGAAGGGTAGAGACGGCCAGATCCCAGCTGAAGAGCTGATCTTTGGCGACCCGGTGCGCGCAGGTGTGCACCAGCCGTCGGGTTTCGGCAGGCTCTGGCCACCTTAACCCCCTGCCTTCTCTTTTGCAGGCTGCCTTCCGTGATGGCTAACAACCTCTCCGCCCCCTTAGCCTTAGCCTGCCTCTTGCACTTGACAAACGAGGAGGTAAGAGCAGCGTGCGCCCAGGGGAGCTGGCAGGAGTTTTCCCCGGGAGCTCTTTTCTTCTCAAGTCCCCGTTTCGCGCTTCTACGGAGAACAAAAATCCGGCTGTCCTTCCTTGTCCCTGGGTCTGGCAGCAGAGGGGCGAGCGCTTTGTTCTGCGCGTTGGGAGCGTTGCACGCCGAGGGAAGCCTCGGCCCCGCGTGCGCCGATGGTGACAGGAGGGGCTGGGGTTGTTCTGAGCCTTCGTCGTGGGGTTGGGTTTTTTTTAAGCCAGGCCTCCAGGCTCTGAGGGGAAGAGTCTGGCTTTGTTAAACTTAGCTTTTCTTTTATATTCCCAGAATATGAAGCTGGAAGGTTTGGAGGACCTGTCTGATATCCTCGTGAAAAAGAAGCATGAGCCCTACGCGGACCAGACCACGGAGGCTGACCCACAGGCCGGAGCCCGGTCTCCCAGCTGACCAGTGCTCACTCTGGACTCACCAGCGCCAGATCTTCCCTCTCCTCCCAGCACCATGGCTGAGAAATCCCACTGGTCTCTGCACCTCCTGAAGACTCTTAAATCAAGGATTTCCCACCTAAAAACAGGATGGATGGTTGCAGCTCAGCCTGCCTGGCTCCTGCCATCTTCGCTCCGTCGGCTCTTTCCTGCGTCTGGGTAGCAGAATTCCTCCATCTCACTGTGAACCGTCAGTGCCTCCTGCAAAGGACTCCTCTGTGTCACTAATTCCCGGTGACTGTCTTACTCACGTCTCCAGTTCCTCCTCTAGTCCTGTTCGTCCCTGAAACAATTTATCTTTTATACTGAGTTTAAAGAAAATAAATCACTGCCTTTGAGATGGGGAAGAAGGATCTCCAAGACACGAGAGAGGTTAAAAATAAGACGAGTGTCAGGGAGCAGCAAGAGCAGGTCGGCTGCTAAAGAGAGGTGAGCC